TTCATGATGCCAAACTAGAGTGCGGACTCCGTGGTGATTTTTTTGTTTGGTCATTACCAAACACTAAATCACCTTGATGTTAAGAGGTGAACAAAAATAAAAAAAGTGATCTTTTTGAGTGGCTTTTATTTTGTGAAGTACGGTAGATGTTAATATTTAACTATTTAACAAGGAAAGCTAAGGTTTCAGATATGGGCGGCTTTGCCGCAAATAAAAAGATTAACCTTGGATAAGGTTTGAAGTACTCTTCGATGTAGCGTATTGTGATCCGCTACACTCGTCCTGGTTCTTGTATAAAGCGTAAGGTCAGTGACCTTAGCTTAGCTTCGCTAAGCAAAGCGCTACGGCAACCCCGCTGCACTTGGGAGCACTCGTAGTCAATCTACGCCTAAGTCGTTACGACTGATCCTCTGTGAGGATGGAGCAGTACTCATATTTGCACCAGGGTATGCAGGACGGGCTTAATAAGCTGATGTCCCTGCTGGGCTCCGAGGGAGTGAAACTCCTTGTTTCGCAAGGACCCGAAGCGACAAACGTGCACCTAGAGACGTTTTTGAGCTATGAAAATGCTCTGATAGAGCACCAACAGCAGAAGCTGTCGGCGTCGACTGCGTCCATAACGCCACCGTCGATGACGGATGACTCCTCTCAACCCAGGTCGCTCATGGTGAGCGTTAAGACATTCTAGGGTAAACATGGCGAGAATGTCCTGCTCTGGGTAAAAATAGGCCAAGATGGCTATGGATCCGCCTTCTCCAGAACGAGCAACAGCGCGTGGCGCTAGCTATTTCCAAGCTAGGGGGACAAGCGCGAGAATGGGCGCTAATGTGCGGTGATTCGGTTGGAGCGGCTTTCTCCTCTTGGAAGGAGCTAAAGCGTCAGCTTTTGCGAGTTTTCTCGTTGCCTAACCAGACATATCTCGTGCGGTCGCGTTTCCTTGCCGCCCGACAGGACAAGAAAAAGTTGGTAGGTTTTTCCAAGAGTTGAGAATTCTCATTGCCGGGATGGCAGCAGATCCTCTCCTCGAGAGGGTCGCAGTGACCGTCTTTATGGAGAGCCTCCACACCGGCGTGACCAGAATGGAAATCTTCTGTGTGCATCCGTCGTCTTTTGAAGAAGCGGTGAATATGACATTGTATGCCAAAATCAAATTTATGTCGGCACGACTTGGCTGAAATGCACATCCTCTCAGCTCGTCGAGCGGGCCTGAGCCAATGAATCTCAGCTATGCCGAGAAAGAGTAGAGAGAGCTCCGATGGGCAGCGTTTAAACACCCGACGGTGCTTTGTCTGTGGATTCATTCGTTACCTTTGGACTGGTTGCTCCCTGCGCAAGGCGCGTAAGGGATTATTGAACCGACGGTTCGCGCCTAACCAGTCTGATTTGTCGCGGGGAGTCAAGAACACCCAGTACGCGCGGTTCGTCCTACTGGAAAAGCAATGAGTGTTGTGTGAGCCGCAAAGAGGTAAAGAACAGCAGTGCCCAGTCTCGAAGAGCACGATGGTCTTGAACACGGAGCGTGTATGCAAGTCGGACTTGCTGGTCGTAAAATTAACTGTGAAGGGCTTTGGGAAGCCATGTAAGATCCTGATCGATTCCGGGGCGTCAGGCAATTATGCTTGATGCTCCACGATCGAAGAAAGTCAGCAATGTGCTGAGGCGCTGAAAGCGCGGTTGATTGACACCGCCACAGTTTGCTTAGCGACGGCACTTGTGTCACTTTGCCGAGGGCCGCTGTGAACCTCGGTGTCAAGCTTCGTGAATTTGATAGAGAGGAACACTGCTTTTTTTAAACTTGGATGCAAGGTATCACCTCAACCCTGGTATGGCATGGTTGGAACACCATGAGCCACGGATTGATTGAAGTTCGAAGACCTTGGGCGAAACGCGCACGCCTCTTGGTGAAGCTTTGGTGAGTCATGAACTCTCTTCTGCCAGGAAGCAGAAGTGCTATTGGCGCGGGCACTGAACCGGGACGGTCAATGCGCTGGATATCGGAGTATCGAGTTGTCGAACACCGAAGGTGTATTGGGCAAGAGTTCCGATCATGGCTTGCGGGCCGAACGTGGAGTGGCGCGTAACCCACTGAGCACTGCTCAAGTATTGGAGCATTTGCTACATGCCATGAGTGGCATGGTGGCCAAGGTCCAAGGCATCGAGGGCGAGGCCCCAGTTATGCACGTGGAGGGGCACGTAACCCGCTGAGCACCGCTCAAGTATCAAAGCAGTTGCTGTATACCAAAAGTGGCATGGTTGGACGAGGTCCGAAGGCAGCTTGGGCAAGGCCCTTCCGATGCGCGCGGAGTGGCACGTTATCCACTGGTCGAAGAATGCGGAAATAGCAGCTCTTCGTCGGATATTGTTAATAACATCAAGGCTTCGATGGAGCAGGGAGTGGGGACACTGGACGACGCTGATTATGTGCTACCACTGCTCTCTATGAGACGTAAAACCTCTATAGAGAGGAGACGGCGATGCCATATGATATCTGTAAGATTGAGAGCGTCGACCCTGACCCAGGGTGTATCTACCGTAGAAGATAGCGCACAGCTATACACCCTTTTCAAAGGTTTGACGGGGGAGGAAGACGGCGACGTCATCCTCGAGGCTATTTCCGCGTTAGATGCTCTTCGTGAGCTGAACGAGATGTCATTCGAAGAGTTTGGTGGTGCCTTGAAGGCAGGTGATTTAGCCGAGGTGGTCATCATACGACCGATTGAGGGGATAAACTCGTCGTCGCTTCTGGAGGACAGTAAGAGGGTGCTATACGCACGAAGTAGATCATCGATCCTGAAGGATCTTTCGGATCCGTACTATCCATCGGTAAAGGAGCTTTAAGACGTCGCCTCCAACTATCTGCCTCCGGTCCAACCTCCGGGCAGAGATGTGCGTCATTAGATTGACCTGGTTTCGGGAACCAAACACATCGTAACACGCAGGCGGATCCCGCTAAGGTCAACGCCAATGTAAACTGGCCGGTCCCAAAGAACTAAAAGTACCTGTGCAAGCGGCTTTGTCTCACCAACTACTTGCATAAGTATAGCGCAAACTATGCGGAAATGGCACGTTGTCGAATCTCCTTAAGAAGAATACGGAATGGTGTTGGGACACCAAGCATCGGGAGACTTCTGACAGGGTCAAAGACAGCCTTCTTCAGGCACTATTACTGTTGTTGCCAGACCCCGATCGTCTTTTTAGTATCAACTGTGACGCTTCGGACTTTGACATCGGCTGTGCACTGCTGCAAGTAGA